GCATACCAATCAACCCGATATTTGAGCTGGTTAAGGCAACGAACACGCCAACAAGCAACAAGAATCGTAATAAAAGAGAGCAGGATAGTAGAGAAGCCCCACTCAAACTACACCCCATACAACTAATAGAAAACGACCAGCAACCACGTACAGTCGGCCACCTGACAACACTATAAGGACAAAAACAAAACCCTCCACACCAAATCAAAACAACACCAACCAACAACAAAATCGAAGACCACCAAAACAGCCAACCAACCAACGAAGTAAAAAAGAAAAAGAACAACTAGGCTCAATAGTTATCTCTTGGATTTGTGTCGACGACGCTTGCCACCATGAGAGAAAGAGAGATCAATGACACGACTAACATCCAATCCATACAAATCATGTATGGCCTCAACATTATCACCCCCCAAGCCATCCTCCAGTCCGTACAATCAATCCGGAGATTCATCCAGCCAATTAGGTTGCACCAAATATGACTCCCCGGATCTCGAAATAAATTGAGACTTAAGAACATTTGGCGAAATTAGATCAACATGGGCATCAACAAGAGATTCACAACCTACACTCCCCCAACAGGGGGATGAATAACTGGTACACCATGATCCAAAGGGCAATCAAAATTATCCAAATCACTAGACGATTCATTAGCCATCAACACATGATCTTGACAACTCCCCTATCTACTCATTGTATACAATCCTCCACCACACCATCTCTAATGAAATTAACATCAGCTTCTAATGAAATTAACATTCGCCGCCAAAGGATAGACACATTAGGAGAAACAAAATCATCAGTATTATGTCAATCATCATCACATTGATCCTCAGACAATGTAGCTTTATTCTCTTGCCCCCAGCATTAAACATAGAAGGATCACACCCATCAACTGTAAGAACACAATTGATATCTAGTGGAACAACAACATAACATTGGTCCACCCCAACCAACGGGGGATTATCACCAACCTCTTGTAAAGAATGAGCACCAACCGAAGCCCCCTCCTATGCATGAGGGCAAACACCCAAGTTAGGAAATAAAATCGGGCAAACGTCTTTCAAATGACCCAAAGAGTTACAATGAAAGAAATACGAGGGAAACCCTTCCATCTCCACAGATTGAATATAACCCATAAATTCAGAACCAAGCCACACATGATTAGGATAACATTCAGTAATATCTAAAAAAGTATACGAGCCACCGAGTGTCTAACACCATTAATAGTAGCATTATAAATTCTCAAGGGTCTACCAAATAGAGACCCTAAATCATGTAGAATTTGGAGAGAAAAAAAAAAGTGGGCGAATGTTGGGAAACGACACCCAAATGGGAATAATAGAAGATTTAACATGAACATCAAAGTGTGAAGGCCACTTAAAGAGCTTCATGAAACAGTTATTGAAGAAATAAGAACGGTGGGAAAACACCCGACAATAATCCAAATCATTTCTCAGTTTAATCAAAATATTTTTTGGATTCAACAAAGTGACAGAGAATTCACCGAACAATTTTAGATTAAGAAAAAATTTACGAATCGTATCAAGCGGTGGATGACGGCCAGGAAACTTCCCAACTAAAGCAAATTCAAAAAGAGCAACAAGAGAGCACATTTCTTCATTTGAAATCATCAAAGTTGACAAACCATGGCAGGAAGAGAGTTTGAGCAGCGGAAACGAAGGCGAAGCCGACTCTCTGGACAAAACCTCTCTAAAAGACTGTGATTTGTGTTTCACGTCCAAAAATTCAAGGTCACTCAATCGATGAGCGGCCATGCCGGCTTTGAGGAAACTAGAGAGGAAAAAATAAGATTAGGGAATGCGAAAAGAGATTACTTGACCAAAGGAACAGCCAAGAGCCGACGAAGAAACCCTAGACATTGCTGACTTTAAGGTACACTTAAATTTATCTTCATAGAAAAATATCCATCTCATGCCTACAAGATTCCTTTGAACTAAGACATCCAAGATTGTCTGACGACAATGATCCTTCAATAAGTATGAGTCTTGCTCATGACAACCTGAGATGGCAAAGCCATGGGATCATGATCAAGTCCATCGCCATCCCCCACAACATTGATTTCAAGTTCAAGCTGCTAAATTTCTAACTTTGTACTAAATTTACCGTCACTATATCCTAAATACTTAGATTCCGATGATTAGCCTTAATCAAAATTTCTCACCGTCATCAATGCAAGTAACTAATAAAAAAAGCTTGCACTTATGATAAACCTAGAACCGGATCATAAAGTCATTGCAAAAAGAAAACAAAATATCTAGATAAAGTCTTATCTGCAATCTACTTTGCCTCCTAAAAATTTAACCATGCAAACATTTGCAGCTTGTTGAAATATGATTTTTTTAAGCTCATCAAAAAGTTGGTCGAATATTTGTATATAGCTCATTTACACTCTCAACTAGTACCAAAGGCAGCTAAAATACTTGTGTTTCAGCATGGGGAAATTACTCCTAGGTTTGTTTCCCTTGCCCAATTTAACAGTTTAATCCACAGGTTGATAAAGTGAGGCATTCATTATTTTCTGAGCACTGCGGGAAAATCAATTGCAATTCATGCACATCCATCTTTTTCATGACATCCCAGTGGAAAATAAAATCCAGGAACAAGGGTTTAGATTTGAACTTCATTGATCGTTTGATATTAAAACAGGAAGAATGAGATTCAGAATAGAGTAAGAACCATTAACCGATGCCTAAATTGAGTATTATAGCCTATAAAAAGTTGTTTCAATCTACTCTGGTTTTAATTTGTATAGAATCAAAGTAGTGGAAAAACACTTATTCTTCTATGAGATTTTGGCTTCGTTTGGTTACCCAATGACTTTTGTAAAAGATAGTTTTAAAAATTTTGTTCGAGAGAATGAAGGTTTCTAGCAGAGAAGCAAATACTTAAAAGCTTTTGATAACAGTACAAAAATGAAAGTTCCGTAAAAAATAATTTTACAAAAATGTCACACAGAAATAGCAACCTAAAAACAACTTTGCCGTTTCGAAACAGAAAAGGTAAAATTAAGCTGTCTTAAACGAGGCCTTATTAAGACTTCAAAGGTATAGACATTTTAGATCTATTATACATAAGAATGAGAATGAGATTAAGAAGACAATTTTCAAAATTAGAATTGAACAAAGTAAAAATAAAGTAATACCTCAAAAGTATAAAATGATAATATCGTGAAAATTCTGAGATAAATTTTGTAAAATTATAATTAGGCATGCTCATTATAAAATTTAAAAATATTAAGATGAATGTGCAATAAATTATGAAGGATGGGCTAATAAAAGATAATATAGGAGAGTTGATATCATCTCTTAAAGATAAATCGTGAAATTAAATTTAGTTGATTGTGCATTTACAACAAATAGTAAATATTGTAGAAGATATGATAATCACATGGTAGATATGATTAATGAAAGATTCAAAAATGTAGATGAAAAAAATATCATGGATGTAAGGTGTGCAAAACAGATTTAGCATATTATGAAGCACTTTGTATGAATAAATAGAAAATAAGAACTCACAGACGGGCTAATGATGATCATGATGAGGAGGATGATGGTGATGATAGGAAGTATACCAAGCTGGAGAAAATACTCTTAAGGCTAAAATACGTTCACCCCTCAATAATGAAGTGTAAAATTCATGCCAAAATATGGTTCAATCTTGAAGTGTCAAAAAATGATCCGACCCGCCAACCCGACTAAAACCTGACAAAAAAAAATCAAGGTTCGAGCAAACGGGTCAAGTTCGGGTTGGCTTTTTTGACCCGTATATTAAATGAGTCGAGTTCAGGTTAACCTGTCAATCCATTTTTGACACAAAAAAGATCCCGTTAATATTGTTTTTCCTTTTTTTTTTTACTTTTTGATATAATCTTCTTATTTTTTATCAAATATCCTAAACATTATAGTTAATAAATTATTAAAAAAAATTAAGTTATAAAATAATTTTTTTTAACCAAAAACGGGTTAATAGGTTTGGTTCAGGTTGACTAGATTCGGGTCAGATCAATTTTGAGTCGGACCCAACCCCAATCCATCAACCCATTTTGACACCTCTAATTTAATCTTGGGTGACAATTAAAATACATAAGATTACATATACTACATATGAAAACATCTCTAATCATCTGGCTATATTATCAAATACTGTCATACCCTCACTCAAAAAGAGATCAACCGCTACAAGTCACTACTACATAATACTATGCGTAGCAATTTTATGCCATTTGCCCACCAACAAAGACCACAATGAACCAGATTTTATGCATGCAATGCACATCAAGGTTACTTGAATTTTAGTTTAAGAGATACCAATCTACTTACCGGGGTAAACCCGGATCTTTGTGGTGGCTTTGCCTTGTATTCTACTAGCGGAAGATCTTATAACTATCTTAATCCTGGTGACAGAGAAGGCAACTAAGCCGAATATTTACCAAGAGGAGAGCAAAAAGTTTGACCAGAATGCTTGATGGTCTAGTAAGATCCTCTCTCCATGAACAAGCAATTTAAGAATCTAAATCTAGAGTATCCTACCATCAGGTGATCTAGGTCTAAGAGCATCTCCAACCGAACATCAAATATGTGTATGGCGTCATTCGGTCGCTCCAGCGGAATGTCAAATCTTCCGCTATTTGCTTGCGGGTTAACAGTGCGACACCAATATTGACGTTGCACTGTTCACCTACGCGATTTCTCTGTCTCGACCGTATTCGCCAAAGAAATGCGCCAAAGAGGAGAAAGACGGTTACCTTCGCAGAAGCCCAAAAATGGAATTCGGTTGGAGATGAATCACGGCATTTTTGAGTTTCACAGTATTTTGGAGTGAAAAATGAGATTTTCGGTTGGAGCTGCTCTAATGATAGCTTGAGGAGCTGCAGTACTAAAATAGGTGCGGGATATATATAGATGCACGAATGAAGAAAGCCCATCACTTGGGTTCAGAGGTTCTGATAGGTGGTTTCGTTACACTTAAGCAGAAACTTCAGCTCAAATCAAAGATAAAGGAGTACTACTTTAGAAGAAGTTCACAAGCATGAGATCTAAGATTTCAGCACAAAGTTTAAGAAAAAAAAAAACTGCTTATGCAGCGTAACTATATAAATTGAGAAAACATATTAAGGAAAGAATTAAATGAAACAATGTAACCTCTCCAAGGGACTGCAAGTTGAGAAGAGAATCCTGAGGAGTTCAAGGGCACTCACAACCACTTTGTTGTAGACTACTACACTATCAGCAACCAATGGTTTTATTCATATAATGCAGATGCTGCTTCTAGTAGGGCATCATATCACTTCAGTTACACCTGCAAATGTCAGCCGGAATTGCAGTAAGAATCGTGCAAGCATGTTAAAAAGCAGTGCTGGAGCATGAAAGAAATACTTAATTTACCCATTTGAATCATGGGGGTTATTGCCATGATATATTGGAGATCTGGTATAACTCTGACCACGATAGCCATGCCTGTAAGTAGTGTCCCTGATACCTCTTGGGGACCTTCTCAGGGGACTAAAGCTCCTGCCAGAACACATTAACAATACAAGGGGCCAGATTAAAAAACACAAAGCACTACATAGTTATTGTAGCCGGGTTCCAATCAACATTGTTATCTTAAAATGACCTGTTACTTTTATTTCTTAGCAAGAGCCTTCTTTAATCTACCTGTATCGATAGCTTGGGCTTTGGTGGTATTGATCACTGGAACTACGGTAGTGTCTTCCGCTTTCTAATCCACCAGATCCATGAAGGCAACAATCCCTAGCAACATGATCAGATTGACCGCACTCAGAACAACTTATGTCCTCACTGCTACATCGGGAGCCCCTACCACTCCTAGAGTTGTGGGAAAGTTCCACATGCCAGCCATTCCTCCCTGTTAAAAATTCAACAACAACAACAACATCAAGCTTATATCCCACTACATGGGATCAGCTACATGAATACTTTTTCTCCATTGTGTCCTATTAAGAGTCAAAATCTCGTTTAAATCTAATAAAGAAAGATCATTTCTAATATTTTCTAACCAAATTGTTTTAGGTCTGCCTCTATATTTATTAACATAAGTCAAATCTAATACTTCTACTTTCCGAACCTCGTCATCGGAAGGTTGCCGTTTTATGTGACCAAACCATCTAAGGCGACTCTCTCTAATCTTATCTTCTACTGGAGCTACTCCAACTTTTTCACGTATATGCTCATTTCGTATCCTATCTCTAAGGGTAAAGCCACTCATCCACCTGAGCATCCTCATCTCTGCCACACTTAACTTATGCTTCTCTTTTAATGGCCAACATTCGGCACCAAAAACTGTCAGTTAGAAAATAAAAGCATCATACAATGACAATACAACTGGACATTCTAAAGTTGCGCTTCAGACCAAAAACTGTCCAGAAAAAAACGAGATCCTGATTCTATCAGAATGCAAATAACAAATCTAATCTGTATAATAAAGGATTATTATCCTGCTCAACTAGAAGAATAAAATCCACTTATTTTGTTTTCCCTACATACAAAACCATATTAGTGGAATTAAACTAATTAGCGTTTAGTGGAATGTTTAGAGTAAAATCTAAAAAATATAAGGTAATTTGAAAATTAACTTGGGTGATTTAAATATGTACAACATAAGATAGAAAATGTGTCAATTAGATGAGAAGATAAAATCAGTGATAGGATTACTAAAAAGAAAAGGGCTAGAACTACTGTTACATGGATAAAAGTTTTCAAAAAAATTTGTGAAGAACATTCAACACTTCTAGCAGTACTCAACAAGAATGAATGAAAAATGTATTAGAATAATGATAAAATTTTAAGCAAGACCAAATGAAAATAAAGAATAAACACACCAATGAACAAAATCACAAGATACACAAGTTTGCATGTTTCAATGATAATCACATACGTCCACGATCATACAAAAATAAAATATTCTGCGAAGCTTTAAAGAAATACATCAAATATTTCTTTTCATGTATACAATTATAAGGATAGAGATACTAATTTCTCTATGTCAATGAGTACGAGAGAACTAAACCATCTGCTGCAAAAATAAGTAATAAACATGGATAAGATGTTGTTGCTTCTATTATTATCACCTTCCTTTCTCGACTGTGAAACCTTCTTCCACTATCACCCTCTATTGCAAGAGCTTCTACTTTCTATGACTGAAAGCTTGGAGACTTCCATCTCTCCCTCCCTCTTTATTCCCATTTGTTTATGATTGTGGGATGCCTGAACACAATCAAACAATCTCCTTATGAAATGTGGGCTCCGAAAATTCGCGCCTCAACCTCCCCAACTGCTGTTTTTGCTTTCTTTTGCTTTGGGGGGAGTTTTAACAGATTAATATAAGGGGTAAAATTTCAGAAGGCAGATTAGGCTGAGAATAAGGCACTACCCAGAGATTTCGCCCTCATTTTGCAAGGACTTTATGATCTAAGTTCTAGTTTCCTATAGGCGCAAACCCTCATAGTTAATTACCCCTCCTGATCACGAGAGAGAACTTTCAATTAAGGCTAGTCGTCAAGTTAATAGACCGTATCCGTAGATACATTATATCCGACATATAGTAGCAGCATGGGTTTTGGATGTTTGGAAATTTGATATTTAAAATTTAAAATTTCACCATCTTGAACTTAAAGCGGATGGTTGGGGAGTAATGATTAGCCCGATCAAGATCCCATGATTATGTCATCCCGGACCATCGTGGTCCCTGGTCTAGTTAGTCAGAGCAAGTAGTCAACATAACCTGAAAGAAGGATCATTATCAATCGTCATGGGTTGCATCGTCCAAGGGTACCTTGTAGACCTGGGGTGGAAATTTGTCTAATGGGACAAATTTGAATTGACATTATCTGACAGAGGGCTTTGTGCCCTATCGAGCATATCCTATTGATTCATTTCTCAAGGATTTAGTGCCATTTGGGAGCATACGGGCTCTGACCAAGACCATAATTTTGTACATTTTAATTTTCAAATAATATTCATATTTGTGATTATTTTCTTATTTTTTTAATCCCAAAAATTTGTAACTCTAATAGTTCGGTTGATATATGGGATTTAGTCGAAGAGCACGCTAAGCCGAAGAAGCAACCAAGAAGAAATCGCAACAAGCAAAACCAAAACATTAATGAAGAAGGAAGCGAAGAAGAAATAGCAACAAAGCGAAGAAGAAAGGCTATCTAAAGAGAGATAAATTATTGAGATAGTCAAGTAATAATAGAAAAAATACCTTATTATTAATTAGGAATTAATATAATTAATTTAGTTAATAGGATTTGAAATGAAAATAATTAACTAGATAATTAATACTATAAGTAGTAATTAAATAATTAATTAGTAATAGAATATTTAAATGATTAATTAAATAATTAATAATTTAAAACTTATTAAAATAATGCTTAAATGATTAATAAAATAATGAATAGTTCTAAGTAGTAATTATTAGTTATTTTAAATAATTAATTAGATAATTATAACTATCATTAATAATCAAATATTTATTAAAATAATACTTAAATAAGTAATTAGATAAATATTTGCTGCAATTAGTAGGATTAAATATTTTTTGTCAAACAATTTTCAAAATTTAGATATAGTAAATCCGAATTTACAAGATTCACTAAGGAGCTATTTGGTTGGATGCAAAGTAAATACTGCGTAAAATATGCAAAGTAAAGTAAAATATGCATATACCAAAAATTGCAGTCTTTAAGATATTTACCCAAACACCTTGAGTGCATTCACCTGTATCTAAATGATCAAGATTGGCTGCATGAGGAAGATTTACACGTCTGCACTTGGAAGAATCATCAACAAGCAAATTCCACAAATGTCAAGTTCATTTATTAATCGCAACATGAAAAATTAAACCCTGATATATGTCCAAGCTCCCAAATCCAAATCAGGAAAAATAAGAAAAGTTTTCAAAAAACAAAAATCTGCAAGCATAATAGAGAGCATAAAAGGATTTTTTAACGCTGCTTAGATTAATATCAACTATAGGATAATACCTATACATGAAAGTATCAAAACAAGGGTCGAGGCTGCATTTGAAGACACCACAAGCCGTGAGAAAGGGGGTGACCTTGATAGACCGGTCCAAGGAGGACCGGTCCAGCCGGCCCAGCCTCTTGGGCCGGCTCATCTCGTTTACTCCAGGAGGAGCCGGCGGAAACAAGCAGAGGAGAAGGGGTGGGGTCCACTTGAAATTTGAATTGATTCTTGGAGCGAAAAGGAGGGGAAACAAGGGTAATTAGGTCCTTTTGTATTAGATTTGAATTGTATTCATTAAGTAGGGAGAAAAGAGGGGAATTAGGGTTATGTCATGCTTGGTGAGAGTTTCTTTTGTCTTCTTGGATAGTGAGGGCTCTAGATCGAAATCTAAAGATTGGGAGAGTGCGATCCTCCTCTCGAATAGAGGATCCTTGTATCTTTGCTATTTGTTGCATCTACTAGTAAAATACAAGTCTTTTCTCCATAACTTCTATAGTTTTTCCCTATTTTTCTACTGTTTTTCTGCTGTGGACAGCAGTTTTCTCTTGGATCTACTTGGTTTTGGTGAGAAACACTTGGATTTCGAATGGTATCAGAGCGAGATCCGGGCGGTGGATGGCTGTTTTTTTTTCCACTGTTTCGCTGCAGTTTTTCGCAGATTTTTGGTGGATCCGGAGGCATCTCGTTGGTTCCCATGGCATCTAAGCGGGTAGAAGTCTTGGAGACCTAGATGGGTCAACTTAAGGCGGATCTGGAGGAGAAGATGGCCACATTTAGCGAGAATGTGGAAGGGAAATTCATGGCCTTGGAGGAGATGATGAAGAAGTTGTTGGAAGGGCAAGCACGGGCGGTGCCAGCGGAGGAAAGAGGAGAAGGTAGTGGGAGCAGGGGGAAGGAGAAGGTGAATCCAGAAGAGGAAGAGGAGGTGGAACTGTTTGACAGCAACGGGAGGATGCCACCTCGGGAGTCTATCAGGCGAGAAGAACATGACATAAGGAGAGACTTCCGGGAAGGAAGAGAAGATGATTGGCGACGTCGGAGGCCCGACCCATTGGACCGGCCATGGGGGATCTATAACCACCATGGCGGGGCACGAGGGGAAGATGGCTGCCGGCGGCCAAGGAGGGAGGATGAGCCCCAATATGGAGAAAGAGGAACTTGGGAAGACCCCATAGCTTGGGACAGAGGAGGCCATGGGGGGAATAGGGCATACGGGGTGGACACGAGGGCCAGGAAGCTGAAAATGCCAGTATTCGAGGAGGGAAATGTGGACGAGTGGATCCACAAGGTGGAGAGGTATTTTGCAGTGAACGGCCTGATGGAGGAGGAGAGATTGATGGCTGCTAGTATGTGCTTGGAAGGGGCGGCGTTTGCCTGGTTCAAGTACATGGATAAGTGGGAACCGGTGAG